CAACTGCTTGGTATGGATTACACTTCATTATCTGCAGCAAAACTCTTCACAGCTGCACCAGTGAGCAACATCATGATAGGTGGAGAAAACATTGGAGTTGGCTGGATTTCATTTGACATCCAAAATGATTTAGATAAAAAATCCATTCATTTGTATCCAAAATCAACATCCATGAAAACAATAGTAAAAAAAATCAAATTATGTATTATTGTATTGGACAAATCTGCTCTCAAAGGACAACTAAAGTACTAGAGCAAGAATGTTAGTGTAAAGACAAACATTTGATTCTAATAGTTTTTCTTCTTCAGCTTCTCTGAATTCTTCCGTTCAACTCTCCCCTCCATTTTTATGTGAACTTATGAATCATATTTGGATTTGTGACATTAATTACAATAGGTTAATGTAATTAATCACAACATGTATCAATCCTTTCTGTTCAGCTGTCTTAGTTCATCATTTCTTCCCTTTAACTTCTCTGCATTCAAGAGCAAGTTTCAGGTTCTTTCTAAAATCTGTTTTGGTCTGTTCTTTTTTCCTGTATTTTGCTTTCTTTTCAAAATAATAATATCTTTGTTGTCCCAGAACTGGTCAGTTCTTTGGTCATTAATGGTGGTGGTGGTTATGTGCTGTTGAGTCATCTGCGACTCATAGCGACCTTGTGTACAACAGTCCTATACCCTGCTCTATCTTGTGCCAATCTCACTGTCTCCAACACAACCTACCCCAATTACCCCAGCTACTGAATGAATCCATCTCATAGAGGGTCTTCCTCTCTTGTGCTGTCCCTCCACCCTCCCAAGCATGATGTCCCCTCTCCAAGGACTGGTCCCGCCTTGCAACATGTCCAAAGTATATCAGATGAAGCTTCAGAATATAGGTTGAAATATGCATATAGGTTAAAAAGGTAAGGTATGGAGATAGGACACATCCCTGGCATACACCTTTCTCAATTTTGAACCATGCAGTGTTTCCTTGCTCTGTTCTGATGACTGCCCCTCCTGGTCCAAGTATAGGTTGCACATTAGTACAATCAAGTGTTCTGGGATTCCCATTCTTCTCGGAGTCGGCCACAGTTTCTTGTGATCCACACAGTCAAACTCCTTTGCATAATCAATGAAAAACAGATAGATATTCCTGTGGTACTCCCTGCTTTCAGCCAAGATCTATCTAACATTAGCTACAATATCCCTAGTACCACGACCCCTTCTAAACCCGGCCTACACTTCTGGCAGTTTTCTGTTGATGTGCTAGTCATTTTTGGAGGCAGAGCTTTCCCTCACCCAACAGATACGTGTGACCCAGAAGCTGCAATCGTTGTGGCCCAAGGGCTGCAGGAAAACAACACTATATACCAGATCTACAGGACACATCACCCTCCCTTGGGAAACATTACCCCTAAACTCAAGAGACACTGGCCACAGCATAAGAAATTGGCATTAGTGATTAGGACATTAAATATATTATTGAGATGGTTCTTAAATTCAGAAGGGATAAACTCAAAGTCATATTTTGGCTCTCATGTACTTGTTTTTCATTTTCTTCAGCTTCAGTATGAACCTGCATATGAACATCTGATGGTCTGTTCTGCACGTACGCCCTGTCCTAATTCTGATTGATGATACTGAGCTTTTCCGATGTCCTTTCCAAGACATAGTCAATTTGGTTCCTATGAATTCCGCCAGGCAAGGTCCATGTGTATAGTCATCAAATGTTTGGTGGTTTGGTTTTTTTTTTAAGATCTTGCATCAACTATTTAATTGTTTGTACAAAATTCCATTGTGTGATCACTAACCTAATTTGTGTTCCAAATGCTATATTTTTCAACTGCTAGTCCTTCTTTGTTTCTAACTTTTGTGTTTCAATCACCAATTATTATTAATGCACCTTGATGGCATGTTCAATCAATTTCAGACTACAAAAGCTAGTAGAAATCCTCATTTTCTTCATCTTTGGCTTTAGTGGTTAGTCTGTATATATGAATACTAGTATATTAATAGTTCTTCCTTGTATGCGAATGGCTATCCTTGTATGTGAATGGCTATTTTTTTTCGATCACTGACAACACTGAATTTCAGGATAGATCTTAAAATGTTCTAAGACACTGATAAATAGGGTACCTTGAAGAAATAGATTTTGGGGGAAATAACTTCAGTTTAGACCAGTTGAGTTTGCGGTGCTTATCAAATAAAGGTCTGTCAAGGTGTAAGGAGGCACATGTCTTTTCAACCACCTAGAGCTAGATCCACTTGAGTTTAATTAACCCTTAGTTCATGGTCAGCTCAATAGAGACCCAATAACCAAGGCAACTGGCTCCTATCACCAAGTGGATCCTATCACTAAAGGAAGCTTTATTCTGTCAATAAGAAATCCACTCTCCTGGAAATATTACTTTACTACCAGGATTGTTCCTTGCTTGCTGAAATTGAGAAGGATTTTGAGATTGCTAAAAACTTCAGCTTGCTTGGCTCCACAATCAACAGCAGCCAGGGACCAGGGACCAGCAGCCAGGAAATCAAAAGATTAACTGCATTGGGAAAATCTGCTCTCAGGGACCTCTCCAGAGTACTGAGGAGTAATGATGTCAGTCTAGAGACTAAGGTGCACCTGATCCAAGCCATGGTCTTTGCAATTATTTGCTATGCATCAGAGAGTTGGACAATGAGTAAGAATGATAAAACAAAACTCTGTGCCTTTGAGTTGTAGTGATGGAGAAGAGTATTGAACATACCATGGACTGCAAAGAGAACAGAGAGATCTTGCCTAGAGAGGGGAAACCAAGATGTTCCTTGGAGGAAAGGATTTTGAAGCTCTAGCTCACAAACTCTGGGCATGTGGCCAGAAGGGACCACTCCTTGGAGAAGAAGATCATACTTGGAAAGGTGGAGGACAGCGCAGGAAAGGAAGATCCCAGATGAGATGGATTGACATTACTGGGGTAATGGGTGTAAGTGTGTCAGAGACAGTGAAATTGGCTCAGGTAGGATAGGGTTCAAAGTTATTGTGCATGAGATAGCTAAGAGTTGCAGACGATTTATGGCACATAACAACAACAACTAGGATTATTTCTTTACAGTAGCCTCTACTATTGCTCTATAGCTTTATCCCAGTGCTTACTTATCAGAGAATTTCATTAACTTCTAAGCCCACCTGGTGTCATGTATCCATACTCAATTCTGAAATTACCAAAAATCAGCAGCCAGCAAGAGATCATGTTTGTCTTTTAAGAATCCAGACCTCCGGCTAAAAGTGGGCAGTTGACCATTTCAGTGGTAATTTTTCAGTAGAGTGTGTCTGGTGCTAGGCACCTAGTGTAGAAGCACAGTGATTTCTAGTTACTTGAAGGGGCACAATTTTTGCCTTCCATGTAGGAGCCCCAAGTTTGATTCCAGGCCAATGTGCCTCAGATGAAGGAAGTCTGTCAGTGAAGGCATTCATGTTGCTAGGACCATAGCAGTCTGACCTTATTGTGCTAGGACTCCCCATGAGATGAGTGTTGACTTGATGACAAGTAACAAACTCCTTGAAAGACAGTGTCATGCTCTAGACTCTTAAAGTTCTGCCAGATGCTGCCTTCTGGCTGTTGAGTGTCTGGATGAGGCCAAGGAGTCTTGCTACAGTGTCCTTTCTTATGAGCTTCCTAAACCCTTCTTCCCCTAACTGCAAACAGGAGATTGGGTTCCTACTCATTCTTTTTTTTTTTCTAAATTTAGTTTATTTTTCATTTCAATGAACATCTACAGAGATTTTGGAATTCCATTCATTCATTGTTGCACCCTTCTCCCCACACCCTCCCCATTTGCTCCTCTCCTTGAAAAGCAAAAGAAAAACTCCCTCATTGGTACACCCCCCCCGCACCCCCCCCAACCCCACCCCCTACCCCCAAATATAATCCACTCTGCAACCCTCATTGCGTACTCCTACGATAAAAATAATGCCCTAAAATATAATACTTTTAGACTATTCTCTCCCCCATAGACTTCAATGCTGTAAACATTTCATCCAGTTTTTCTCATTCTTAACATGTTTGATTCCCCTCCACCCCCAAGTCCCATTTGTCACAGCAGGTCCTCATTCTTGGAGCGGGGCAGGGAGGGGAAATAACCTTGATGCTCTGTGTCACCTAGCAATGTCCCTCAGCCACACAGAAGCTGAGACGGAAATCCTTTCTTCCTGGTCTTCCCAGTGCTCACATAGCAGAGAGCTTCCTTAGCTTCTAAGCCACCCAGCACCACTCTGTCCACACCCACTCCACTCCACCCTACCCCCATCCAGGTTCGTTCCAGCAATGTTCCTCAGATGCACCTCGCCCAGCTACCTGAAGCTCACAAATTCAGGATGTGCTCAGAGGAAGGGGCCCCACACCCTGCCCTCTCCTGCTGGAACCCCTATCTACAAGATAGTAAGCCACCAACTCACATATAGTAAGCCACCAACTCACATCAGGGTTTGTCCCCAAAATGGAAGTTTTTATTTACATAAGAAATTTCTGGCTGGAACGTAAGCCACCAACTCACATCAGGGTTTGTCCCCAAAATGGAAGTTTTTATTTACATAAGAAATTTCTGGCTGGAACCAGTGAAGGGGGCCAGAAGGACAGTGCCAGAAAGAGATGGGAGATGGGTGTTTAAATACTCAGATGGGGGTAAGGCGGAAGTAGTGGAGCTTGCTTCAAGAAGACCACCTCAGGGTGCATACCATCAGCAGTCCCCCAGTAAGTCCAGGGGGGATGGGGTCAGGAACATGCCAAGACAGTGCTCTGCCCAAAGGCATGACGGTCAGTGGGTGGCTGGCGCAGATTAAGGAGACATTTGGTAACATCTGAGTGGTGTTTTAAGTAGGAAAGCCACTCATTCTTCTATTTAGTTTCAACTTTCTGATGCTACTTGCTTTTTCTGTCAGCTTCACCTTTTCACTCTGATGCCCCCTTTTTTCTTCCTCATTTTTTTAGAATGTCATTTTCTTCAGGACTTGGGTCCCAGACAGAAGGTCAAAGGAAACAAGTTTCCTGGGCAGGAGGTGTACATCTACCCAGAAGGGACCCAGTCTGTTCCCCCCAGGATGCTCACCAGGCTCTATCCTGGCCTGGTGCTCATGGCCCCTTGATAGACCCTGGTTCTGTAAGACGGGCAGAGGCGTAGGCTGAGGCTCCAAGGCAGGCTGCAGGCTCACAGAAACCAGGAAGTCCCACAGGGCCTGGCCGGCCAGGGCGGCCCATCTCTCCAGGAGCCCCTGGGGACCCTCGGTCTCCATCCTTGCCGTTGATTGACTGGCCAGGCCGGCCAGGGAGGCCTGTGTAAGGAGGAAGGTTAAGACTTCAAGGCCTCTTCCAGTCTCTACCTTAGAATCCCTGAGTGTCATATTTCAGGTGGTAAAATGAAGCCAACAACACCAACACCATAAGGGAGACACTGAGAATTGTGTTGATTGTCCATTACTTCCAAATCCTAATATGTGAGCCTTGCGAACAAATACCCCTTCTTTCCCCTCCATGAGGCAGATCTGGTGCACCCCAGGAAAGTCTTAGAACCACAGTTGTTCAGTTTCCAGACAGACTCACCCCAAGAATCAGGAGTGCCCCAGAAGGATGCAAAAGCAGGATATCTGGGACTGAGCTGGCACTAAAGGTGAGACCTCTATGAAGGGACCCAGGTGTCCATGCACAAATAAATCCCAGAGTGAAGTGGAGAACTGTAGCTGGGCAGAACCAAGGTCTTACCTGGGATCCCTGGGGGCCCAGGCCTCCCGGGGTGTCCACGTCCCACATCTCCCTGATCACCTTTCTCTCCACGTTTCCCTACAGAGAAAGAAGAGAGCCTTTCCTTTTTAGAAATTTTTTTTTAAATAAAATTTTGATTTTATACTGGTTTGCTTACAAAGTTCGTACATATTGTTTTTCACACTGGCTCTTTCCCATTTCCTTAACCCATCCCTCCCTCTACCCATCAAAGTGTGTGACTCTGTGATTATACCCATTCCTTCCCACCCCTCTGCACCCTCTACCCTTGGATCCTCATGCAAGTTTTACTAGTTATTTATTTCTACAGTAATGGTTTTATACAGTATTTGTCACTATGGGACTGAGTTGGTTCACTTAGCCAGTGTTTTTCAGAATTTAAAGATGATTTTCCTCCTTCTTTTGCCACTTAATTTCTATTTAGTGTATACACACATTAAGTATTCCTGCTTTGTGCTAGTTTGAGGAGCTCTGATGACATAGTAGCTTAGGGCTCAGGCGCTCACTGAAGGGTCGTCAGCTGCTCCCAGGATGGAGAAGTGGGAGTCTGTTTCCACACATCTTGGAAAATCTCAGAGGCAGTTCTACTCTGCCCTATAAACTCACTATGAGTAGGTATCTATCTACTTGAGGGCAATTAAAAGACATCAATTCTCCTTTGGTCTGCTTTATTCATTTTCCAACATGCTTTTGTTGTTGTTACATGCCATCGAGTCAAGTATAACCCATAGCAACCCTATGAACAACAGACTCGAACCCTGTCCTATCCTGTGCCTCTTCACACTTCCTGACACACTGGAGCCCACTGTAGCAGTCACTGTATCAATCTACCTGATTGAGAGTCTTCCTCTCCTTTGCCAACCCTCTATCTTTCCAAGTATGAAATCCCTCACCAAGGAATAGCTCTTCCTAGCAACGAGCCCGAGTTATGTAAGGTGAAACTTTATCATTTTTGCCTCCAAGGAGCACACTGGCTGCACTTTCTCCAAGACATATTTGTTCTTTTGGTGATCCATAATCAATACTCTTCTCCAACACCACAACTCCAAGGCATTGCTCTCAGATGCATAGCAAGTGATTGGAAAAACTATGGCTTGAATCAGTATTTGAACTGACATCATTGCTCGTCAAGACTTAGGGGAGGTCCCTGCCAGCAGAATTCCCTGATGCTATACATCTCCTGACTGCTGGCATTAAGGATATTAATTGTACAGAAAATAAAAGGCCCACAACAAAGGGAGATTAAGGCGCAAAGCCCACAACAAAGTGGCAGATCTGACTCCAGAGCCTGCTTTTATCACTACCTTGCTAAACTTCCTTTCCTCTAGAGCATAAGAAGGATATTTATGAGGTACCACTAAGTGAAAAAGTAAACCAAACAACCCATGTTAGAAAAGAGCACGTTCATTTCCAACAATTTGCTACTAGGCAAGAATGGCTAGGAGTATGTCCTCAAAAACCTGATGGAGGAAGGATGGGGAGAAAGTGTCAGTATCTCATCCTGAGGAAGGATGGTGAATGACAGGTGGAAACAGGAAGCCCTGGCTGGCCCTGGGCAGCTACCCACCGCCCACTCCACCCCAGACCTGCTGAGAAGCGCACTCACCCTTGGGCCCTGTGTTGCCGATCTGACCCACAGCTCCCACGATGCCAGGAATTCCGCGGGGCCCAGGGTGCCCGTGAGGCCCCTGCACGCCTGGGTATCCAGGAGGTCCTGGGGGTCCTGGGGGGCCCATCATTCCCACTGCACCCAATGCTTCCCGCTTGGCACTGACAGCCACTTCTGCCAGTTGCTCTGGAGGCAGGAGGAAGAGGATGGGGGGAGAGAGGCCTGTGAGATGGTCTCACCTCCAAGCCATGGGGAAGGCAGAACATCCTGATGCCCTGACCCTTTGGCTTGCAGGCAGAAAGGCCTCATTTTTATTTAACTCTCTTCTTCCTCAGGCTGTTTCTCAAAGGTCCAGAGAAGGCAGAAATTATTTCTAGTCCAAGTGTCTTGGAGGCAGAGCTGAGGTAACTGACTACTCTTGACTCTGGACAGTGGGTAAGGAGGCAGCAGGGAGAGGTCCCTGAAGAGTGGAGAGTCTGCAAATGGTCTGGGGGCGGCCCCTCCCCTCACCTTGCAGCATCTTCAGCACCACATCCACGATGTGCTGGTCACTGGCATCGCGGCCCTGAAGGCAGAAGGGTTTTTCAAGAAGCAAGTCAGCCCTCTGCTGCCAGGGTTGCCCAGTCCTGCACCCTGTGACCTCCTCCCGCTCCCACCTGAGAAATCAGAGAGCAAGTTCCCCACACGAAGAACTTTTCAGTATCTGAGGAAATCCTTCCTGTTGCATCCAACCCATCCTTTCTGCTCAGGGGTTTGGAGACTGTCTCAGGGAAGCCAGGTAGCTTTGGGAAATTCTCAGCCTTTCGGGGCTAAGCAGCACCCCTAAAGACATTTCCTATCCAGGGGAATTTGCCCTTCGAGGCAGGAGGCAGACAACTCACCGCCACGCCCTGTCTCCCCGGCAGCCCTGGGATGCCTCTGTCACCAGCCAGTCCTCGAGGGCCTGGGAGCCCGGGGTAGCCCTGCGGCCCCGGGGCGCCCGCATCTCCGCTCGGCCCTGGGTAGCCGGGTTCTCCACGGACTCCTTGCTGCCAGGGGGCAGGGTGGGTGCAAAGGTGAGAAAACACTGAATCAGGAAGGGTGGGCGCAGGGGAGGGGGGAGGAGGTGCCAGAGGGGCTGGAGGGGCTGCGGGGAGGACCTCCCAGGGCGGGGCCGAAGGAAGAGGGAGGGGACTCACCTGTCCCTTGGGCCCGGGCTCGCCAGACTCCCCCTGCCGACACAAGTTCACGAGGTCATGAAGTGTGATGCCCGGGGTCCACCCGCCGCCCCTGCCCGACCCTACGCACCCCCCCCCCCCCCGCCCCGCTCACCTTCTCCCCTTTCTCTCCGGGGAGGCCAGCCACACCTGGATCACCCTGCAAGGGAACAGTGGCCCGTGGGTCAGCGCAGCGCGAGCGGGGACGAGGGGATGCGAGCCTCAGACCGGTAACTGGCCGAGCAGGGTAGGGCAGGGCAGCGGGGTCGACTCACCACACTGCCGCGGGGGCCTGTCTTCCCCGGGGAGCCCTGCAGAGAAGAGGAGTGACGAGTGCCCAGGGAGAGGCTGAGTCCACGCGACCCCCACCACCGCCCGCCACACTCCTCTCTCCTGCTTTGGCCTCACCCACCCGACCTCGGACCCTGGGGTGAGGGGTTATTTGTTCCACAGAGACTTGGAATGATAAAGGGATTCACTGGGCTCCACTATTCCTCCTCCCCCTCCCCACTCCACCTCCACCTTTCCCATCCCCCCATTCCTTCTGCGGGTCTCTTCCTCAGACCCATTTGATACCTTCTCTCCTTTGATGCCTGGCAAGCCTTGGGGTCCTGGAATTCCGGGAGACCCCTGCTCCCCTTTGGGGCCCTGAGGACAAAGAAATCAGAGGGGATAAATCCAAAGCAGGTGGTCAGGCATGTGCCTCCACCCCTGCCTCAGCTGGCCAGGTCTTACCTGTCGACCTTGAGGGCCTGGCTGCCCCACTGGCCCCCTCTCACCCGGGTCACCCTGAAATGGAAAGAGAAGGTCATGGTCGGCCCAGAGCCTGTGTGGTCAGGGCGTCTCCACTCTTGCTGGCACTTGGCATGAGGCCCTTCTGCTCCATTTCACAGACCAGCAAAATGAGGCTCCGGCTGGAGACGCCTGAGCTGGTGCTTGGAGCCAGTGAGAGGACCCCAATCTCAGATTCAGCGGTGCCAGCTGCTGCAAAGTCCCCCAGGGAGGGGGACTGTGCCAGGTACTCACCTTCTCTCCCATGATGCCCTGGGGACCAATCTCTCCTCGAAGACCGGGCTCTCCCTGGGAGACAGAGAAACTGGGGGTAAACAGCCATCCTGTGAGGTCCCTCCCTTCCACAGGGGTCCATGCCTTCCCTGCCCTGTGATATATGCTCTCAGGTCCCTGCACTTTTCTTCCAAGAACCTAAGACAATTTCAACAAGCTGTTAGGCGGTCATTTCACGTCTGTGTCTTTTATTAGAGTTAAGCTCCATTTGAGTAGGAGACTACGCCAATTTCATTTTCTAACACCATCTCCCATATTCAACCAATGTTTTTATAGAATAGATAAATAAATGACAAACTCTTTTGGATTCTCAGCCCCAATCAACTTAGCCTTCTCAGGAGATGACACTCTAGGACAGAACAAATCCCCTCCCCTCTCTGCTCTATACTCAGGGTAACCGGGGCTCAGAGAGGAGAAGGGAGTGTGTCTGGATATTGGGTCAGTGGCAGAGCCCTGGCTAATGCCCAGGGTACCTCCACGGCCTCACTCTGACCACATGCTGAGGTCCTCAGAACCATTCAGGGTCCTCAGGTCTGAGATGGCCAAGGAAAGGGCCCTAGGCCAGTGAGTGTTTTGTTACTTACCTCTTTACCAGGAGGCCCAGAGAATCCAGGGAGACCCTGCTGGCCTGGCTCCCCCTACAGAAAAACACAGTTCTAAGGTCACTCTGGGCAGCCCTGTCAAGTCCATGGCCTTGGGGAAGCCCAAAGGACCCTAAATAGACTCTGGACCCAACTCAGTTGGAAATGAGGAGAGGATGTTCTTGGCTATGGCCTCTGGGTTCTATTGATTTCTGAGCCATTTAGTCTCCACTGATTGGGGCTGGCAGAGGGCTGAGGCTGTCAGATTCAAGGGGCTGTGTCCAGGCTTAAAGGCCAAGCTGTGGCTGAGGCCTGGGGGCTTGCAGGCCTGGTCCCTATCAGTCACACTCGTGGTCCTTGCCCCTAGGTTCCCTTGTGCAAATAAAACCAATTTTGCCCCAATTAAGCTTGGTATCTCACCTTGTCTCCAGGGCCTCCTTTTGTCCCAGGCTGGCCTGGTACACCCTGCGGAAAGAAGGGGACATCAATTCCTGCTCTGGCCTGAGGCCCTATGTACCAGCGGCTTTGTCTCCTATCTCCAATCCACATTTCTCCACCTTGTGGGAGTTGAGTAGCAGAAGGCTTATCCATGGCATCATGGAGTTGACTGGCCTTCAGAGCCCAGGAAGGAGAGGAGTGGGCTCCAGAGAGGCCTGCCTATCAGGGTGTGTGGTCTGTGGGGGAAAATGAGCATGTGAATGTGCTCACTCTCACACAGGCTCATGCACGTCCACATGGACGTACCAGTGGCTAAATTGGTACGTGAGCAGATAAGCACACTTCAGCCACTCAGCACTCCTGGAAAGGAAAGAGGACCCCCTGAGCTGTGCTTAGGCTGTGGGGTGAAGATGGATTGGAAAGATAAGAAGGCACAGAGACAGGGAAAGGCCACCGCAAGCAGAGACAAGCAAAGGGAAAGCTTGGGCATAGAAAAGTCAAGACACTTTTTTGGGAAAGTTGAAAAGGGAGAAGGCTTAGAGAAGTAGTGGCTGTTGAAGCAGGAGGGTAGACCGGGGTAGATTTTTGTAATTTTTGAGTACCAACATGAGCTGTAAGGATGAAGATTGTATATATTTTGTCCATAAATATTTCCTTATCACTTAATGTTTTTTGTTACTGTTGTTATGTGCCATCAAGTTGTCTGCGATTCATAGCGACCCTATGTACAACAGCTCTGAACCTTGCCCTGTCCTGAACCAGTCTCACTGCCTCTGACACACCTACCTCCATTGCCCCAGTTACTGTGTCAACCCATTTTATCCAGGGTCTTTCCTTTGCTGTGCTGTACCTCTACTCTTCCAAGAATGATGTTCTTCTCTAAGGACCCTGGTCATGAGCCCCAAGTATGTGAGACAGAGTTTCAAAATCCTAGCCTCCAAGGCGAAACTTGGTTTCACACTCTCCAAGACAGACATATTTGTTTTCTTGGTGGTCTACTGTATGTTCATGACTCTTCTTCATCACCCCAACTCAAAGGCATCAATTCTTCTTCTGTCATCTGAATTACACTGGAAAAATCTGCTGTCAGGGACCTCTCCAGGGTACAGAGAAGCAATGATGTCAGTCTAGAGACTAAGGTGTGCCTAATTCAGGCCATGGTCTTTGCAATTACTTACTATGCATCAGAGAGCTGGACAATGACTAATGTTCCTTAGGTGCTCAATAATTATTTGAGTGAATACCTTTCTTCTGGAGGCAGTAGGTAGCTATGAAAGGTACTTTAGCAGGGAAATGATCAGATTCATTCCACTTGGCAGCATGGAGAGTTAGATTGGCCAAAGATAAGACTGGAACAATTGTCCAAAGGGTGAGCCTTAAGTGAGGAAGGGATTGAAGAGTTGGTGATGGGTACTATGCTGGAGACAGGATCTTTAGAAGGAATTCTGGGTGTGGTGTCTAACACCATTTGCTTCTCAGGCCATCATAAGGAGGCGAACACAGAATGTCTGGCCTCTTGGAGGTGAGGCAGGAGAAGCAACGTGCTTGTGTGGCAAGACTTGCAGCTTTATCAGATACTCACCGCTAGACCCTGGTGCCCTGGGTTTCCTGGCCGTCCCGTCTGTCCTGCACTGCCCTGGGGACAGAAGGAAGGATAGACCCAATCAGAGCTCTAGTCAGAGGACCTAGGGCTTCTACCCAGGCAGACTGGGAAATTGAGGTCTGTCATAGAAAACATGACACTCTGAGGCCACTAGGCATAGAGGGGCAGTGGTGAGGCTCATGGACCTGAGTTGGGTGGACTCTTGACCCTTACCCCAACCCCAAGAGCAGCCCCCCCTCCTACCTTCATGCCAGGTGTGCCAGGGGTCCCATCCTTGCCATCGATGCCGGGGGGACCCTAATCAGGAGAAAAATGCAGAGAAAGTCACAATGGGGAGCTGCCCAGGGTCAGGTCACCCATGCCTGTCCACCTAGGATAGTAAGGCAGGTCATCTTGAGAAGCCCCATCAGCCAGCTGGATGAAGGGACCTGAAGGGGAAAGGGGTTGTGGGGGGATGAACTATGATCCTTCTCTTCTGTGGGTGCTAAAACTCTCAGATGGCTGGAAGTTTTCATCCCTGTACATCAAACTCATTGCCATAGAGTCAGAACCAATTCAGAATTCTGGGTTTCCGAGGCTATAAATTGCACAGGAGTAGACTACTCATCTTTCTCCCTCTGGATGCCTAGTGGATTTCAATCCCCAGAGAGGTGTAGCCTTTGAGTTTGCAGTTCAACTCCCTACAGACTAAGCCTCCTGAGCTTCCTTCTCAGATACATCACCACTCCCATTTTACAGGTAAAGAAACTGAGGCACAAAAAGGGAAAGGCATTTCCTGGGTTTACAGAGCAAGCCTGCCTTGACAAATCCCCCAGTCCTTCTTAGACAGGAGTCTGAATAGCATCCCCTGAACCCTGTTCTCTGCCAGGCGGGCCTGGGCAGGCACTTACAGTTGCTCCTTTTGGGCCTGTTATTCCCTGGGGTCCTCGGACACCTTGGCTGCCCTGCAAGGTACACAGACATCAGGTCACCTTGGGGATACTGGCTGTTCAGAATAAACAGCTGAGTCAGGTGACCTCAGGACATCAGGGCCCCTCTGCACAGTCCATACTGTGTGGGGACTGGAGGGGAGGTGCCCTGGGATGCCTTTTCTGCCCTGGAGCCAGCAGTGAGAGCAGAAGTCAGCTGGGCTGGGCAGGTGCAGGGACAGGAACCAGCACTTCTGAAATTCCAGGCAAAACTCAAGCTCCCAGGCTCAACTCATGTCAACATCGAGATGCAAAGGTTAGCATTTTGATTTGAGCAAGAACTGTAAAAAGACATTTTTGGAGACAATTCGAGGGGGGAAGGACTGGACTGGTTATTGCTGTTGTGAGGTGTCATGAAGTCCATTCTGCTGCATTGTGGTCCCATGTGAAAGAAGAGAGTCAAGATTCCCTTAACTGTGACCTTGACAAAGTAGATTGCCCTGTCATCCACCTTTGTAGCCCCTGGGTGGGCTTGAACCATGAGCCCTTTGTTTAGCAGTTGGAGCACTTAACTGCAACACCAGATATCCAGACTGGTTGGTTATTATTAATAGGTGCTGTTGTTATGGACTGTTGAGTCAGAATCAACTCTTAGCTGCAATAGGCTTTCAGAGGCAGTAAATTGCATGGAAGGAGATTGCTCAGCCGCCTGAGAAGCAGCTGGTAGATTCAAACTGTGTGTCTTTGTGCTGGCAGCACAATTCCTTACCATTAGATCACCAGAGCTCCCTATTAATGTTGTTGCTGTTAGGTGCCGTCAAGTCAAGCACAACTCATAGTGACCCTATGAACAAAAGATCTGAACCCTGTTCTATCCTGTGCCAGCCTCACACTTCTGACACTCAAGAACTCCTTGCAGCATCACCGGGTCAATCCACCTTAGTGAGGGTCTTCCTCTCCTTCGCTGACCTTTCCCAACATCATGACCTTCTCCAAGGAATATGATTATGTAAGAAAAAGGTCCATATTTTCAGAGCTACAACAGAAAGATCTGGGTGAATGAAGTGATATTAAAGATTTGCTTAAATATGAGAACAAAATGATAACCACAGAGTGAAGAAAGGATAACTATGGATGATATGAGTATGAAAAAATGTTAACATCAGAATGTAGTAGGCAGGTATATTCATTGTGTTGTTCTACTTTTGTGTATGCCTCAAAACTTGCATAATAAAGAGCTAAAATCTAATAAGAACAAATAAATAATGAGTTAAAGGACTGGGATGCAGACTAAATCCCATTAACCGCATGAGTGATTTAGTGGAATCTCATTGTCTGGCCTCCCCCAGATGGTGGAAATTCACACACACACACACACACACACACTCTGCCCTGTGAGGAGCAGAACCCTACCCAGCACTCTCCTAGGACCCTGGCTAGACACAAAGACACGAGATAACTGGGGACTCACCACATCGCCCTTCTCCCCTGCTCGGCCTGGGGGTCCTCGTGGCCCCTCCTCACCCTGACAAGAAGGGCAAACAATAATCAGGCTGTGTGGGCTCAGAGAGAGCTGCACCCACTTTGCAGCCCCAGGAGCCCAGGTTGGAGGTGGTGGGGGTGGTCAGGCAAGAGCAGACTCACCGGGGACCCCGGGGCACCAACCGAGCCCACCATGCCTTTGTATCCTTGAGGACCCTGGGGAAAGGAAAAGGTTACATTACATGTCAGTCCCGGTTGAATTCCAGAAGCCAGGCAACCTCTGACTTCAGACAAGGGAGCCCAGGGGTCACAGCCGCTCTTGCAGGATTCTCCCTGACTCACCGTCTCTCCCTTGGGTCCCGCCATGCCTGGATAGCCCCTGACGCCCTGGGGTCCCTGTCAAGACAAATGGCAATTAGACTCATCCACTTAATTATATTTCTCTGATGCCCCCCGTCATCCTGTGTTCCCATCTCCCCAATGCCCTTTGAGACAGGCAGCATCATCCATATTCACAGATGAAGAGACTGAGGCTCAGAGCTGGGGTGGAACTTGCCAGGATCATGCAAAGGGACAGTGGCAGCACCTGAACCTCCCCGGGGTCTTCTGGCTGATAGTCTGTCCCTCATTGCCCAGGGACACTCCCAGCTGGGCACAAGAGTCTCTACTGAAAGCTAGATGAAGGACATATCTCCATAAAGACACCCAGAGAGAGGAGGGCCTTACTAGGAAGGTGGTCCTTACCGGTGGTCCAGGAATGCCTTGCTCTCCTGAGGCACCCACATCTCCCTTGGGACCCTGTAAGACAGCAGCAAGCCATCAGAAGGGCAGAGAGACAGCTGTACAGGCAGTCAGACACCATCCCCCTTCCCCACCACAGGTGACAGGAAGGACCCTTAAAAACCACACCATCTCATGTTACTGACAGGGAACTGAAGCTCAGCATGGAGAAGGGGCTTTCTGGCACATAGACCTGGATCCAGGCCTTCTACCTCCCAGCTCAAGGCTGTCTCCAGTGACCACAGGCGAAAGTGGATAAAGGAGGGGGAGACCCTGGAGGACCCTCTTCATACTTCCCCTTCCACGGCCTTCAGCCCCACACTCACTGGCTTTCCCTGGCGGCCTGGATCTCCTAGAATCCCGCGTTTGCCAGGATGGCCCTGGAGGAAGAGAGTGCAGGGTGAGGCCCACTTCCCATCACCCCTCTAGTTCTCAAGACCAGAGCTGAGAGTTCTCACCTTCACACCCTGAAGTCCTTGGGGGCCTTTCACACCCGCAGGGCAGTTGGTTGGACACTGAGAACAAAACCCACAAACGGACAGGTCCTGAGGTCAGTGGCCTGTCCTTAGCTGGCAAGGCAGTGCTCCTAGCATCCCTTTTCAGGAAGCTGCCCCGCATCCTCCCATCTTGCCCACTCTGAGGCTCTCCTCCATCCCACCTGGCTGAACAGAGTCCATTAACCCAATCTCCATTACGTCCCCTCTTCTTGGGCCCCGCCCCTGCGTCAGCCCCGCCCCATGTGGTGTCGTGCCCCACCCCCCTCAACCCCTGCGCCTCTCACCAGGAAGTCCGCGCTCCCTTCCAGGCCCTGGATGGTTCCTGGGCGGCCCTGAGTGAAGAGGTATGAAGATGGGGCCTGGAGCGACCAGACTTGTGCCCAGGACGCTTCACTTATCCTATGATACTTACTGGTTTCCCAGGGGGCCCCGGAGGTCCAGATGGTCCCTCTGGTCCAGGATCTCCCTGGAAGCAGGAAAGGCTCAAATCACATCCTCATCTATCTCTGGCAGGTCGCTCCTCCTCCCTTTTCTCTTCTGGCCTTGCACATCCTGACCTCCCGGCTCCATACCGAGTGTTGGAGTCTTGGGGAAATCAAGGTCAGATGGGCAAGAGATGGCCCCACCTTTGAACCTCTCTGAAAGACTATTTCTGGGTGGGTTAGCAGGAGGGGCTTCACTCCAGATATCCAGGAGCTCCGTGGTGGCCAGGAGGCCCAGGAGCTCCCAAGAGTGAGCCCACCTCAACTTGCCAGCTTGGAGAGACAAGGGCTTGGGACAGAGTGGGCAGAGGGGTGACTGAGGCTCACCTTGGGGCCTGGAATTCCAATCTCACCAGGAAGGCCAACAGGTCCAGGTGGTCCCTGGGGAGCAGAGACCTCAATGACTTTGGATGCCTCAGAAGGTCAGCCCACTCCAGCTCTGATGGTGTGGGTAGCAAAGGAAACCCAAGCGATTTTCAACTTTAATTTTGTGGTCACCAACTCCCAAGCCACTAGCTGATTTGGGATTTCAGCACCAACGGACAGACCCAGAGTGGGCTGGTTTAGGGTCTCTGGCAAGTCTACCTTCCCCTGTCATCATCACAGCATGCTGCATCCACCATCACAGCTGCTTCCACCCATTCACCCCATGATGGACATTGTTCTCAGGGACACTGCTCCATCCCATCCCATCCCATGTACTTACAGGAGGTCCAGCAAAGCCAGGCCCCTGCAACAGAAGGAAAGGTGCATGAGTTCATGGCTTTCTTCCCAGACCACTCCTACTGATAAAAGACCCCTCCAAACCCTTGGGGGGTACACTCACCGGCAGGCCCGGGGGACCTGGAAGCCCGGGTTGGCCCTGCAGGAACAATGGGGGAGGCTCAGAAGGTGGGGTCCTGTGTCCCTGCTCCTCATTACCAGATCCCCTCCTGATCTCTGGTCTAGACTGAGCATGCTGAGGTTTTAGCTGGTCACTTACCTTGACTCCAGGGATCCCCAGAGGGCCAGGCTCCCCCTTGGCTCCAGTTAAACCCTGTAGAAGGAGGTAAGGTCAGTGAGGGACGAACGGGCAGGTCCAGGGGCCTTTCCTGGGTGGACTCGGGCTTCCTTTCGCCACATTCCAAGATCAAGGTTTAGGGACCCCAGCACTGTCCCTTCCCTTCCCAGTTTCTTCAGTAGCGCTGGAAGGCAGGACAGGTCTATCATCTTTTGAAAGATGAGAAACCAAGGTTCAGAGACTTACATAGGCCAAGTCGCAGGCCTCCTAGTTTAGGAGTCTGCAAGGAGTCCTAGACACGTGAAGCCTGCCTTGGGCAACATTTTCTCCTCTGTAAAATGGACCAATAAAAAAAAAAAAAGGACCAATCCTGCTTATCTCTGTGTGAGAACCAGTGTGCTAGTGGGGAGCAGTGCACCTCCTAAACTTCGCAGGGTGTGGATGAGTTTGGAAGGCCCTGGTCACAGCTTTGGTGGCTACACTCCCTCAATCCACATGACAGAAGCTGCTCATGGGAGGTGAGGAGAGAGACCTCTGCTTCCTCTTTCTTTCTGTGACTGATCCAGGTGTGTTCCCCAGTCAGTGTCTTTGGGACAGGTTATGTCCAAAAACTTGTGACTTTGGGGTCCCTGGAAGCTCTGTGATATCCACATGATGCTTCTTGCTTGCGTTGTGCCTGGGCTGAGGGACGGAGAACCAGAGGGGGAGAGGAGATAGACCTTGGGAATGGGCACCTGGGTGGCTCAGACAATGTTCAGCCGGGTAATGGGAGTCCTGACAGCTGCAGATGAGCAGGCCAACCCTGTAGAAGCCAAAGACTTCACTTTGGACTCCCTCATTTGTATGTGATTCAGTGTTCCTGGGGTAGGGGAGGTGTGAGGTAAGGGGGTGCTCACAGCTGTGGATCCCCCATTCTGTTGCCTAGCTCCGAGCAGATCAGTAAAGATGCCAGAACGCAGGCTCTAACAGCCCTAGGCTGCCCTCTGACCATTCTGTACTCACATCAATGCCTGGCTTCCCATCTGGCCCGTCTGGTCCCGCCTTGCCAGGCTCCCCTTTAGATCCCTTGAAGACAGAAGTGGAGTAAGAATTAGCAAGAGAAGGGGAAGAATGGGAAAGGTCAAAAGTCGAGGAGGGGTTGCACTCACCGGAGGTCCAATTTTCCCAGGGGGTCCCTTATCACCCTGCAAAGTAAGAACTGATTAAGATAGCATTCTGCACCCCATGGTACTCACAGAGACCCTGTCTGTTCAGTGTCATTGCTCATCTACTAATCTATTCTTTCTTCTGGCCTGGACCCCCTCAGCCTTGCACTTTTTAGGAATATGTTTCCTTTTCCTTCAAAAGAAATTATAAGTGGATTAAGACTAGCTGAAGAAAATGAAATAAATATGAAAACGGGTTTTGAACACTTAAGGTTTATAAGGTACCAGCCTTGACACCTGCAAATGGGGCCATGTGCTCCAGGTTATCCTCAAGAGCTGATGTCTCTCAGATTTGGGCAAGTTGGGGCTTTCTGAAGGAGCTGAAGAGGAGGGTGTGAGGTGGACCCTGTTCTGGATTGTGGGGCTGGAAAGCAAGGGCCTGGAGCAGGACAGGAAGACCAAGGGGTTGTAGAAGAAACGTGGAGTGTGTGTGTGTGTGTGTGTGTGTGTGTGTGTGTGTGTGTGTG